CTTTCTCCAACAGTTCAGCATTATGCTCCCAGTCCTTTTTGTACTCGCCCTGTGCGCCCAATAGAAAGTTAATGTTATGATCGTGAAAGCATTTGATCGGGTTCAATGACAAATCATTAGTGTAGACACCGTTCACTGCAATGAATGCAATGACCAAAATAATTAAAGCCAACTTCATTTTGAGATTGAATTGAATTTTATTTAGTAATTCTCTTAGACTTAACGCATACAACAAGAGCTAGTTTTGAATGCAGACGTGATAGTTATAACTTGAAGTATATATGATGTTCATTGAACAATAAAATTAATTAATATTAATTAATTATTCATAACATACGGTTAATATAAATAAAGGGTCTAATATTCGGGAATTTCAGAATAAATCTAATTAACAAATTCACAAAAAATTATATACTACTAAGTTAAAAGTCAAAATATATGCGTTTTATTTTCCCGATTTTGGCATATTTTGAGAAAATTCGCGACAAATATATTTTTATAAAACATAATTTTAAAAACAAATTTTTTGAGAATAAATTGAATTAATATTTTGTTAGCGATTATATTATAAAATTGTTATTAATTAATTACCAAAACATGATAAAGTATTTTTTAATAAAAGAATTAAATACTGTATATACTTATAAAGTTAAAATGAAAAATATGATTTTCATTCACTTTTAATGAACTTTTTATTTATTTAATTAAAACTATTATTTTAATTAATTGACTTTATTTTAAAGTTTGGCACGAATAGTGCGAAACACACATATCGTGTGTATTTGAAGTGAGTTTACATTTTCTGTATTGACTGAATGTATGTGTTGTAAGTTTGGGCTTTAAATAGGGTTACAATTGGGTCACTTTGATGTCCAGTATATTCTGGGAAAGTGTGTGCAGTATATGTCTAATTGTCGGCAGTGTTTGTGTTTAACATTTTGAGAGTGAAAATAAGGTTAACTTATTTTAAATATAGACTAAAATTCAAATGAATTAATTACACAAAATAATGAAATATAAATTCTAGGTAAAATTTCATTTTACCTTTACATACTAAACACACAACTTATTTAAAGTTATACATTAGTTTTTAAATGTTTAAAACTTGTAGTTTTAAAAAGTAGTTTTAAATAAAAACGTTTATATAAAATATAAAATATTAGATTAAATATCATTAAATAGGCCGACACTCAATGAAATGGCCGCATGCATACGGTGCCACTTTGAGAAACGCCCTGGCTCCAATAAGGGACACCATATACCCGAGTTTAAGAAAGCGCTGCTTAGTTACACCGAAATATTTAGAAACACCTACACCCATATCAACGAAACCACCGAGCCAGGTTTCATGAAATGCATGGATGCTTGGTCAATTAACCTTCACAAACACACGTGCAAAGCCATTGACGCCCAGATACAACACCGCCTCAACCCCGATGGCACCCTTCCGGCCGAACACCACTACATACTTGAGTATAAGAAGAAACGGGAACACGCGTTGACCGAATCTATTAACAGAATGTACGCCAATATACATAGACCCAATATGTAAAACACTTTTTTTGTATTTATTTATTTAATTGATAATAAATATAATAAAATAATGTGATTTTTAAATTAAATTGCTTTATTTATTTAATATTAAGTAACAAATACGACGACAACACTATCGCCGATAACGGCGACCAAAAAAAATTTAGTCATTTTTCGATAATCATTTTAAAATAGGCATAAGTGACGACTCGGACAACACTGACTTGTGAGGCCTCCATCTAAGAGACCACACAAAACAAATCACTGGTCAGTAAAATAGGTATTAATGAATATTACTGTATTAACGGAGGGCTTCGGAACGGCCGATAATTTGGGTCACTTAGATTTCTATCTCATCGGAGGTATTGTTTAGAATGTTTTGTAATACATAAATGTATAAATAAATTATTGTAATGCTATTTAGGCAGTTGGCAACCGGGATGTGCTGTATTTATGGATATAACGAGTAAATTGAGTACAATTATATCGGGCGACAACATTAGTTGTTCGCGCTCCAGGGCATGGTCAATAATGAATAACCTTGGTATTATCTTATTTAAATATGCTATATTTTTTAAGTTGTTATAAATCTAAAAAACCTGAGAATAAATGCAGTGCTGTTGGCTAACAATGCGAAAATTATGGTGCATTTCTAGAGGGCCGGTGCGCTAATTGTGCTGATAATAAATGCCAACCAATGTGTCTAAACCCGGATTATTGGATCGACAAGAAAATGGATGAGATGTAGTATGTATAACAATACTTTTCACATTATAAAGCATTTTAAATTTTGGTTAAATAATTGTTAGCACATTACTTGCTAAATTAGCTGGTACAATTACAAAATGGTTGTTTGTTACACTAATTATAATTAAAATATTACCCACATGAATTAAACACAATAATTTTAAACAATTTATTATATCATCAAATTACATTGTATACTAATAAGTAAATAATAATATTCAAATTAAACCCTTGTTCATTAAAAATATCTGTCATAAAATAATAAATCACACCTATCCCAGAGCCCGTGAATCGTCCCTGATCATTTGGGCGGCCATTTCGCCCACCAGAACACTGGCCGCGTGTGTATTAGCGTTGGCCAACTCGGGGAACACCGACGAGTCGGCCACTCGTAGCCGTTGAACACCCTTAACCCTCAATCTCGGATCTACGACCACATCGCGTCTGTCGAGCGCACCCATACGACAGGCGCCGCCCGGGTGTAGGGCTGTGTTGGCCATCTCAGCGATTATACACCTGATATACTGATCGCACTGCCACATGGGTGTGTCCGGCGAGCAAAACTTGCATCCAGGTATAGCCGTGGGTATGATCTTGGCAAATTTAGTAAACGAACCCTGCAGTGTCAGCCGGAATAGTGTCTTGGTCATTTCGACGAGTGCGGCCATGTCTTCGGGCGACGACAAGTACTGGGGATCGATGAGTGGCTGATCGTATGGGTTAGTGGTGTTGAGTCGGATTGTGCCCCGCGATCGGGTCCGGTATACGGCCGACGTTATCAGCACATAGGGCTGACCCAAGTAGGGTCGCCAATAGTCGCTCCATTGGTCCAATTTTTCCGGCGCGTAACCAGCGGTCGCCTCCTCTAGCGTACGCTTAACGGTATAGGCGTTGGTGTCGATGACAGCGTTGGGCCACTCCGGGTCGTCGTTCAATGTGGTGCTAAAAAATGTGATACTATTGGCCAGTTGGGTGAGCGGACCCGTGTGGCCCACGTAGTAGTCGTATAGTTGTTGGACAGTTGGCCCCACTACCGGATTGATGAGTGTTTGGTTGTTTGCGGTGAAGTAGTGGTGTAGGAATACGTGGTCCTGGAAGTTGTCGCCCACCGGTAGGTCGGCTAATACCGGGATGTTTAGTGACTGGAGGTGTCCACGCGGTCCGATTCCCGATAGCATTAGTAATTGCGGTGATGCGATGCACCCTGGTCGGTAAAAATTACATTGTTATAGTTAACTAATATGGTTAACACGGTAATTTCAAATTAATTCTCAATATTTGTGTATAGCACAAAAATTATTATGATAAAGCAATAACTTTTCACAAACAATTGACATCCAAACATAATTTACATTATATGTTTGTAATAATGTAAGAGTTTATTCAATATTCATTACAGTTTGTTATAAACATGAGAGAGAGAGAGAGAGAGAGAGAAAACAGCAAAACTAATTAGTAAGGAAATTCTGTAATTATTTACAGCCAATTACAATTATTATGATTAGTCAATTATAACCAGGGATCCGCATGTTGAAATGTAATAGTAAATAGTCAGTACTGTATGAGTTATAAATATAGCGATTTATAGACAGATTCATATTTAATAGCATTTAGCTTCAATTTCTGATAACAAAATGAACAAAATCTGTTCCCAAGATGTAATTTTTATTCAGAATAAAACGAACTATAATAAATAATGTAAATTTGAACAACCTTTCATTATATTTAGAATTACATTAGTAAAATAAGTTAAACATGTTATTACAATCATGCAATTTTATACACAGAGTTTTGGATTTTATTAAACACCGAATATTGTCTCTTATAATCCACAGAATGGATGTCCTCTTTGAATGTCAATGGCTTCAGTTCTTCGGCCGACAGATCACGACATTTATGCTTCAAAACTGGATTACAAGCGATATAATGGACTTTCCGTCGATTGGCCTCTATTTGGGTCTCCGAACCATTTTTTGGACAAAACACGGCCGAAGACTCGTCTCTAATGCTATTTATAACAAAATATATAAATAAATTTATCATTAGAAAAAAAACATTTCAAACATCTAAGCGTTTCTACTGTACCTCTCGTTCATAGAACTCATGTAATAAACTTCAATGACAGGTATTTGCAATTTATAACCCCTATTATCACGACTTTTTTCATATTCATTATATCTCTTCCACTCCAAACAAATTGAATGGATTTTCTCCACTTTGAAGTCAAATGTAAGCAAAATTGTGTGAACTTTTTGTTGAGCTGTTTTTGACATAATTCGTGTGAAATTCAATTCTTGCACTTCATTACCAACCGTTGCATTCATTGCAATGTTTAAATGCCCTGAAAATGTATTATTGTATTAATATGCTATATAATTAGAGCTGATTTAAATAAAATAATTAATTAAATCTTACATGTATTATCCATTTTCAAATACATTTTGTATATTTACATAAATAAAGTCAAATTCAAATAAATTGCGAATCAAAATATTACTAACCTGTTGTTGAATCAGAAGTGTTTGAAATATGAAATCCCATTTGATAGTGAAATACTGTTTTAATGTTCATTAATTAGTAATTCAATAATTAGTTGATTCTCTAATTAATAGCAAATTATTTACAGCAATAATCTTCTTTGGGTCCGGTATTGACAAAATATTGACTGTCAACTGTCTTGTTGTCCATTTTCTTGTCGGTCCAATAATCAGGGTTTAGACCCATTGGTTGGCATTTATTGTCAGCACAGTTAGCGCACCGGCCCTCTAGAAATGCAGCATAATTTTCGCATTGATAGGCAACAGCACTGCATTCATCCCTAGGTTTTTCTAAATTTATAAGTTAGAAATCATCATAATACTTTAGAAAATATAATCTATTTAAATGAGATAATACCAATGTTATTCATTATTGCCCATGCCCTGGAACGAGAACAACTAATCTCATCGCCCGATGTAATTGTATTCAATTTACTGGTTATATCAGATGCAGCACATCCCGGTTGCAAACTGCCTGAATAAAATGACAATAACTTTATTATACATTTATGTATTAACAAACGTTTCAAACGATACCTCCGTTGGGATAGAAGTCGAAGTGACCCAAAGTATCGCTCGTCCCAAAGCCCTCCGTATTAGAGTCGGGTGCGTCCGTATGGATCACATCCACTATCTGTGCGTCCGAATGATCTAAACGTAAAGCTGTGTTCTTGGACTGAAAAGTTATGCCTAATTGAAGATTGAAGTATAAGATATAAATATTATCCCATTATAATCATCACCGGCCGGATCGAGGGCTGTAATGCGGGCCACTTGAGGATTATTCAGTCGTTTGCCGGCAAAACCCATGACATGTGCGCCCAAACTGTGTCCGATTAACCAAAACCTATCATTTGTTATGTTATATGTTTTGCACAAACTGTTTATAAAGAAACCAATGAGTGCTCCAACAACTCGGGTATTACTAGCGGCCAAATTATAAAGTGGTGCTCTTGCTCCTAATTATACAACATACAATTATTTAACAATCATTTAATAATACAATCAAAATAATAAACCTTTTTCCCAAATAACGACCACAACATTGAATTGATCATTACTTTTATAAAATATGAGATCTCTCATATTCTAAAACAAATTAATTAAAAAACTTAAATAACATTAAATGTAAATAAAAATGTTATAAATGTTGTAAATATTTATAAATATTTAATAATATAAATTAAATGTAGGTTTGAATACCTCTAACCACAGGGAATATCCGCTTCGAAATCCGTGGACAATGAATGCGGTTCTAAGGGAGGCGTTGAAAGTGCTGTACCGGAGTTGGTCTGCAGTGGCGTTATAGCTATAGTTCCTGGGGATCGTCCGGTGCTCCTGAGTGTACATATGAAACACCGGTGCTATAAAGTCGGGTGACATCGGCAACAGTGGCAAAGCACCGGCCGACTCGTTGTATTCAGTGGGAGAAAAACAGCCGATATCTCGGTAACAAGTTTTGCCTAACATATCGTCAGTGCACACGCTGTGCACTTCAATCACCGCAACGACCAAAACAATTAAATTCAATTTCATTTTGATATTGAATTTACTTGTATTTATTCTCATAAACTTAACGCATACAAGAGATGATTTCTAATGCAATCAATAATATGTTGAAGTATACATATGTATATGATATTAATTGAACATTAATATTAATTAATTTTTAATAACATACGGTAAATATAAATAAAGCGTTTAATTTTTCAGAATTCTAGAATACAAATAATTACCAAAATCATTGTAAATTATATACCAGTGGGTTTAGAAATCACAATATGAATTTTTTTATTTTCCTGAATTTTTCATATTTTGGCAAAATTCTTATAAAAAATAATTTTAAAAACTTATTAAGAATAAATTTATTTATAGTTTTTTTAGTAAAAATATAAATAAAATATGAAATAATCATTAACACGTAACTTGTTTTTAATTCCAAGTTAAGCCTAACAATACTTAAAATAAAAAGTAGTTTAAAAAAGACATTTATAAACAAAAGAAAATATCAAATTAAATGTCATTATTAAATATAATTCATTTCTAAACGTTATAGATAAATAATTAGTGTTTTAAAATTAAATAAAAATATAATCCCTGTATGTAGCTTCAATTCCGGAATTTAGTTGTTTTTATTCCCAAAAACTAGACGCTTTAATTATGAAATATTACTTCATCAACATTATTAATTAAATCTAAATATGTTTTCATATATTCATAATTTTGCCCCTTATTTCTGATAACAAAATCTGTTTCCAAAATGTAATATTTATTTAGAATAACAGGGACAATGTATATTTGTATAATAAACAATGTATATTTAAACAACATTTCATTATATTTAAAATTACATTAGTAAAATAAATAATGAAACTTATTATTACAATCATTCAATTTTATACATAGAGTTTGAGATTTTATGAAACACAGGATATTGTCTCATATAATCTACAGAATGGATGTCCTCTTTGAATGTCAATGGCTTTAGTTCTTCGGTCAACAGATCACGACATTTATGCTTCAAAACTGGATTACAAGCGATATAATGGACTTTCTGTCGATTGGCCTCTATTTGAGTCTCCGAACCATCTTTTGGACAAAACACGGCCGAAGACTTGTCTCTAATGCTATTCATAATAAAATATATCAATAAATTAAAAACATTTCAAAACTGTTATCTAAAAATTTTTAAGTGTTTGTACTGTACCTCTCGTTCATAGAACTCATGTAATAGATTTCAATGATAGGTATTTGCAATTTATAGCCCCTATTATAACGACTTTTTTCGTATTTATTATATCTCTTCCACTCCAAAGCTATTGAATGGATTTTCTCCATTTTAAAGTCAAATGTAAGCAAAATTGTGTGAACTTTTCGTTGAATTGTTTTTGTCATAATTCGTGTGAAATTCAATTCTCGCACTTCATTACCAACCGTTGCATTCATTACAATGTTTAAATGCCCTGAAAATGTATTATTGTATTAATACCCAATATAATTAGAGATTATTTACATTATATATTTAATTAAATCTTACATGTATTATTACATAATTACTGTGACATAACATTTTAAAATAATTTTTGTATACTTACATAAATAAATTCAAATTATCTGCGAATCAAAAAATAACTAACCTGTTGTTGAATCAGAGGTGTTTGATATATGAAACCCCATTTGGTAGTGATGTACTGTTTAAATGTTTATTCAATAATTAGTTGATTTTCTAATTAATAGCAAATTATTTACAGCAATATTCTTCGTTGGGTCCGGTATTAAAAAAATATTGACTGTCAACTGTCTTGTCGTCCATTTTCTTGTCGGTCCAATAATCCGGGTTTAGACCCATTGGTTGACATTTATTATCGGCACAGTTAGCGCACCGGCCCTCTAGAAATGCAGCGTAATTTTCGCATTGATAGGCAACAGCACTGCATTCATCTCTAGGTTTTTCTAGTTTATAAGTTAGAAATCATAATAATTTAGAAAATATAATCTTTGTAAATGAGATAATACCAAGGTTATTCATTAATAAACAGGCCCTGGAATGCGAACAAGTAATGTCTTCGCCTGATGTAATTGTACTCAATATATTGGTCACATTATGAGATACAACACATTCCGGTTGCCAACTGCCTGAATAGTATTACAATAATCTAATTATACATTTATGTAATAATAAACATTTCAAACAATACCTCCGTTGGGATAAAAGTCGAAGTGACCCAAAGTATCGCTCGTCCCAAAGCCCTCCGTATATGAGAGGGCGGCGTCCGTATGGATCACATCCACTATCTGTGCGTCCGAATGGTCTAAACGTAAAGCTGTGTTCTTGGAGTAAAAACCAACACCTAATTTAAGGACATATTATTGCAGCAAATATTATGTAAAACATATTATAATATAAAATACCCGACGGATCGAGTGCTGTAATGCGGGCCACTTTCGGGTTTCTCAGTCGTTTCCCGGCGTAACCCATGATATGTGCGCCCAAATTGTGTCCGATTAACCAAAACCTATCATTTTTTATTTTAAATGTGTCACATAATCTATTAATAAAGAAACCAATGAGTGCTCCAACAACTCGTGTATTACTAACGGCCAAGTTATATAGTGGTGTTCTTGCTCCTAATTTAATAAACTACAATTATTTAGCAATCATATATTAATCCAATTATCATTTTAAACCCTTTTCCCAAATAACGACCACAACATTGAATTGATCGTTGCTTTTATAGAGTATAAAATCTTTCATATTCTGTAATAAATTAATTTTAAAATTAAAATAACATTAAAAATATATAATAATATAAATTAAATGATTGCATACCTCTAACCACACGGATAATCCGCTTTGAAATCCGTGGACAATGAATGCGGTTCTAAGGGAAGCGTTGAAAGTGCTGTACCGGAGTTGGGCTGCAGTGGCGTTATAACTATAGTTCCTGGGGATTGTCCGGTGCTCTACGGTATACATGTGAAACAACGGTGCGATAGAGTCGGGTGACATCGGCAACAGTGGTATAGCGCGCGCCGATTTGTCGTATTCGGTGGCAGAAAAACAGCCGATATCTCGGAAACAACTCTTTCCAAACATATCGTGATATTCTGTGATTGAATTCAAACACAATTTTAGACACAATTTGATTCAATGATTGATTTATTGAATACAAACTTTTGAATTTATCGACGAATCCGTCCACTTCTTCGCGCTCCAGTTCCGCGTTTGAAAATGTCTTAAGATTATCATCACTTGAATTGTCTTTCTTTATATCAGGCGATATATCTGTGAATCAAAAATTCATTGTAAATGTAATCATTAAACACAACTATTTGTGTAATTAATACTCATTTTGCTGATCAATGATTTACATTTTCGGGGCTCTGAGACGGAGGCCTCAGTGCTGTTCGGGTTTTCACTTTTGCCTATTTTTAAAGTATTGCCGAAAGGATTACTACTTTGATTGGTTGTCGTTATCGGCGATTGTGTTGTTGTTATTGTCGTCGTTGTTATAGGCGTTTGTGTAGTTGTTATTGTTGTTGTTATCGGCGATTGTGTTGTTGTTGTTGTTGTCGTAGTATTAGTGTTATTTGCGTTAATTGGCAACCCCTTTGTCTCATCACTGTATACTCGATGCACTGCAATGACCGCAACGACCAAAATAATTAAATTCAACTTTATTTTCATAATGAATTCAATTGTATTCATTAATTCTCATAGATTTAATGCATATCACAAGAGCTGTAATTTCCAATGTAGACGTAATATTTGATAAATTAAAGTATATATTTAATTAATTGAAGTGTAGTATTAATTAATTATTAATAACATAAGGTAAATATAAATATATAGTCTAAGATTTGGCAATTGTAATATTCAGAATAAAAATAATTAACAAAATAATCAGAAATTACCATAAGTTTTAGAGACAAAATTATGCGTTATTATAAAAAACAATTATAATCGTTAATTATGTTAAGATGTAAATTGTGATAACATTATTAAATTAGTGTAATAATTATGTAAATTTTTCTAAAATCCCTGTATTTTTCTGTATTACAGCTTATTTTGAAATATTTATTCTTGTATATTTCAATGTACAGAAAAATTACTTTTTGTATTCTCTGAAAATTTTTGTATAATACAGGAAATTCTTGTATGTGTGGCAACGCTACCCTGATGGCCAATTTCTGCTAACAAAATAAACAAGATCTGTTCCCACATTTATTTTTATTCAGAATAAATAAATAAATAAAGAAAGGACTATAATAAATAATGTATAGTTGAACAGCTTTTAATTATATTCAAAATTACATTAGTAGAATAAATAAAACTTGTTATTATGTTGATTAAAGTTTATACATCGAGTTTCTGATTTTGTGAAACACTGGATATTTTCCCATATAATCCACAGAAAGGATGTCCTCTTTGAAAGTCAATGGCTTTAGTTCTTCGGCCGACAGATCACGACATTTATGCTTCAAATGCGGATTACAAGCGATATAATGGACTTCCTGTAAATTGGCCGCTATTCGGGTCTCCGCACCATCTTTTGGACAAAACACGGCCGAAGACTTGTCTCTAACGCTATTCATAACAAATACATAAATAAATATATCATTAAATTAAAAACAATTCAAACATATAAGTGTTTGTACTGTACCTCTCGTTCATAGAACTCATGTAATAGATTTCAATGACAGGTATTTGCAATTTATAGCCCCTATTATGACGACGTTTTTCAGATGCATTATATCTCTTCCACTCCAAAGCCATTGAATTAATTTTTTCCACTTTAAAGTCAAATGTAAGCAAAATTGTGTGAACTTTTCCTGGAATTGTTTTTGTCATAATTCGTGTGAAATTCAATTCTCGCACTTTATTACCAACCGTTGCATTCATTGCAATAATTAACTGCCCTGAAAATTTATTATTGTATTAATATGTAATATAATTGGAAACATCTGATATAGTTAAATTAAGAAATGTTACATAAGACTAATATATAAGAATCATTTATTTCTATAATTTTAATATGAATCTTTGAACTTTTTTTTGTAATTTTTAAGTTTTAGCACCGTTTCTTTATTAACTTTAACGGCTAACGTTTAAGTAACTTTAAAACTTGTTTTTGTTATCTAAGAATTAATAAATGATATTGTAATTATTTTTTGTAACGCATATTTTATCGTTTCGATTATTTAGTTTGTTTTAAAAATAATTTTAGTACATCATTAATGTGAACAATTCTGATTCCTTAAATTCTATGATACAAAATAACTGTAATATTGTGATAAATATTCAATTATTGATTCAAATATAGTGCAAAATAAAATATTACTAACCTGTTGTTGAATCAGAACTGTTTGCAAAATGAAACCCCATTTGGTAGTGATGTACTGTTTTAATGTGAATTTGTTAATCATTTAATAATTATTTAATATTCTAATTAATAACTCATTATTTACAGCAATATTCCTCTTTGGATCGAGTGTTGACAAAGTATCGACTGTCAGCTGTCATGTTATTTATTTTCTTGTCGGTAAAATAATCGGGGTTTAGACCCATTAATTGACATTTATTATCAGCACAGTTAGCGCACCGGCCCTCTAGAAATGTAACATATTTTTCGCATTGATAGGCAACAGCACTGCATTGGTCTCCAGGTTTTTCTATGTTCATAACAATTTAGAAAATATAATTTATTTAAATGAGATAATACCAAGGTTATTCATAATTGACCAAGCCCTGGAGCACGAACAACTAATGTCGTCCCCCGATGTAATTGTACTCAATTTGTGGGTTATTTCATCAGATACAGCACATCCCGTTTGCCAACTGCCTGAATAACATGACAATAACTTAATCATATGTTTATGTATTAATAAACATTTCAAACGATACCTCCATTGGGATAGAAATCAAAGTGACCCAAAGTATCAATCATCCCGAAGCCCTCCGTATAATCGACGGGTGCGTCCGTATGGATCACATCCACTGTCTGTGCGTCCGAATGGTCTAAACGTAAGGCTTTTTTGTTGGAGTAAAAAGCGATCCCTATATTAAAATTAAAATATAAGATATAAATATCATCCCATTATAATCATCACCGGCCGGATCGAGGGCTGTAATACGGGCCACTTTCGGATTATTCAGTCGTTTTCCGGCAAACCCCATGACATGTGCGCCCAAACTGTGTCCGATTAACCAAAACCTATCATTTGTTATGTTATATGTATTGCCCAAAGTGTTGATAAAAAAACCAATGAGTGCTCCAACAACTCGGGTATTAATCGCGGCTTGGCTATAACGTGGTGTTTTCGCTCCTAATTATATAAAATGCAATTATTTAACAATCATATTATAATACAATTAAAATAATAAACCTTTTTCCCAAATAACGACCACAACATTGAATTGATCGTTGCTTTTATAGAATATAAAATCTTTCATATTCTGAAACAAATTAATTTTAAAATTCAAATAACATTAAAAATATTATTGATATAAATTAAATGAATGCTTGAATACCTCTAACCACACGGAATATCCGCTTTTAAATCCGTGGACAATGAATGCGGTTCTAAGGGAGGCGTTGAAAGTGCTGTACCGGAGTTGGTCTGCAGTGGCGTTATAGCTATAGTTCCTGGGAATCGTCCGGTGCTCCTGAGTGTACATGTGAAACACCGGGTCTATAGAGTCGGGTGACATCGGCAACAATGGCAAAGTACGCGCCGTTCCGTTGCTTTCGTCTGGGGAAAAACAGCCGATATCTCGGAAACAACTTTTGGCTAACATATCCTGATATTCTGATCATTTAAATAAATAATTAAAATAATTTAATACTCTATTGGAATCAATGATTGAGTTATGAATTGAATGCAAACTTTTAAATTTATTGAAAAATCCTCCAATTTCTTTGGGCTCCGGTTTCGCGACATCAATGCTTGAACTGTCAAACGACTGGAGTGTTCGGTCGTTCCCTTCTGTGTTGTTGTCATCGCTTTGACCACTATTGGCGTTGACTGACGTTGTATTACCTGTACAGAGATTACCAGAGCATTGCATTATAGTTAAATATAAGACCCCAAATAGTCACTATAATAGTTGCGAAAAACACCCCAAATAGTTACTCAAATAGTTACTTATAATTTGACAAAATAAAATTTTAAATTATATAAAATGTCACCAAATGTCAGTTGCACTCTTTAATACATTAAATATAACTGTTTTTAAGTTAAATCACTTGTATTTAACTAAATTAACTATTGTTAAGAATGTTTTTAATTATTTTGGTCAAAACCCTGAATACATACAACTTATAATTTTGGTCATACCATCGCTTTGAATGATAAATTATTGCAATATTTTATAATAACCTTTACATTTATCATAGGTTACTCTATTTAATTATTTTCTAACTTACAAATGTAAATTAAGTTGTAATTTTATTTGTGTTTTATGCTAAAATATACCAAAAACTTGAAAAATGTATCAAATAGTTACGTATAAGGTAATAAACGTTCAAATAGTTACGAACGCCTCAAATAGTTAAATATAGTTAAAATAAACTTTTGGTAAACTGACCCCCAATACATGATCGGTTTACATCCCGAGTCTGGGGGTAAAACTATTAACCGCTAAAAATAGGTGGTATAGTTAAATGCAATTTCCTGGAGATTACCATAAACTAATAAGTTTTTTTTTTAAAATTCAAATTAATGATTAATGTATGGCAAACAATGTGTCTGTGAATCAAATTTATATGAAATGTAATCATTTAATACAAACTTTATCTAACAAATCTAGTAGTCATTAATACTGTACTTATTTTGCTGATCCGTGATTTAGTTTGTGCGGTCTCTGAGATGGAGGTCTCAGTGCTGTTCGAGTTTTCACTTTTGCCTATTTTTAAAGGATTACTACTTTTATTTGTTGTCGTTATCGCCGATAGTGTTGTTGTTATTGTTGTCGTTGTTATCGGCGATTGTGCTGTTGTTGTTGTTGTCGTCGTATTAGTGTTATTGGCGTTAATTGGTGCCCCCTTTGCCTCATCACTGTATACTCGATGCACTGCAACGACCAAAATGAGCAAATTTAACTTCATTTTCATAATGTACTCAATTGTATTCATTAATTCTCATAGACTTAACGCATACAACAAGAGCTGCAATTTAAAATGCAGACGTGATATTGATAAATTGATGTATACATTATATTTAATTAATTGAAATGTAATATATTAATTATTAATAACATAAGGTAAATATAAATATATAGTCTAATATTTGTTAATTGTAATATTCAGAATAAAAATAATTAAGTTTATAATGTAAACAGTATTGTTGTATACAAGTAAAAATTGTTTCAATAAATACATGACATATACCATTGTCTCATAAAAGTTGACCCTGATGTAGCGTAGCCAAATAGTATTTTGAAAATCCTGTATAAATATAAGAAAATTGCTAAAATTATTGTATTTTTCTGTATTACAGCTTATCTTTAAAATATTTATTACTGTATTTTTTAATGTAAAGGAAAGTATTATTCTGTAATATAATACAGGAAGTTACTGTATGTTTGGCAACGTTACCCTGATGGCCAAATTATGGCCAACAAAATGAACAGATTCTGTTTCCATATGTAATTTTTATTCAGAATAAAACAGACTATAATAAATAATGTACATTTCAACAAATTTTAATTATATTTAGAATTACATTAGCAGAATAAATTTAATTTGTTATTACAATTATTTAATTCAATACATAGAGTTTCGGATTTTATGAAACACTGGATATTTCCCCATATAATCCACAGAATAGATGTCCTCTTTGAATGTCAATGGCTTTAGTTCTTCGGCCGACAGATCACGACATTTATGTTTCAAATGCGAATTACAAGCGATATAATGGACTTCCTGTGTATTCGCCGCTATTCGGGTCTCCGAACCATCTTTTGGACAAAACACGGCCGAAGACTTGTCTCTAATGCTATTCATAACAAAATACATAAATAAATATATCATTAAATTGAAAACATTTTAAAACATTTCAAACATCAAACATCAAACATCGTAAGTGTTTGTACTGTACCTCTCGTTTATAGAACTCATGTAATAGATTTCAATGACAGGTATTTGCAATTTATAGCCCCTATTATGACGACGTTTCTCAGATGCGTTATATCGTTTCCACTCCAAAGCCATTGAATTAATTTTCTCCACTTTAAAGTCAAATGTAAGCAAAATTGTGTGAACTTTTCCGGGAATTGTTTTTGTCATAATTCGTGTGAAATTCAATTCTCGCACTTTATTACCGACCGTTGTATTCATTGTAATAATTAAATCCCCTGTAAATGTATTATTGTATTAATATATTATATAATTAGAAAAATTAAATGTAATTAAAATTAGAAATGTTACATAACAATCATTTATTTCTCTAATTTTAATATACTTTGTTATTAACTTTTTTTTATCATTGTTTTAGCAAGATTTCAGTCATTTTAAGTAACTTTAAGACAAGTTGTTATTACCCAAGAATTAATAAAGTCTATTTTATTTATTTTTTTTGCATATTTCATCGTTTAAATGTTTTTAGTTTGTTTAAAAATAATTTTAGTACTCCATTAACTTAAAATTTTTTAGACTCTTTTAAATTCTATGAGACTATATAACTTTAATATTGTGAAAAAATACATTTCCTGGTTTAAATAAAGTGCAAATTAAAATATTACCTACCTGTTGTTGAATCAGAAGTGTTTGAAATATTAAACCCCATTTGGTAGTGGTGTACTGTTTAAATGTTCATTCGTTAATAATTTAATAATTAGTTAAAATTCTAGTTAATAACTCATTATTTACAGCAATATTCTTCTTTGGATCGAGTGTTGACAAAATATTTACTGTCAACCGCCGAGTCGTTCATTTTCTTGTCGGTCCAATAATCCGGGTTCAAACCCATTGGTTGGCATTTATTATCGGCACAATTAGCGCACCGGCCCTCTAGAAATGTATTGTAATGTTCGCACTGATAGGCAACAGCACTGCAATGGTCTCCAGGTTTTTCTAGATTTATAACAACTTAGAAAATTTACTTTATTTAAATGAGATAATACCAAGGTTATTCATTATTAAACAGGCCCTGGCGTGCGAACAACTAATGTCTTCGCCCGATGTAATTGTACTCAATTTACTGGTCACACTATCAGATACAACACATCCCGGTTGCCAACTACCTGAATACCATTACAATAATTTAATTATACATTTATATATTAATAAGCATATCAAACGATACCTCCGTTTGGATAGAAGTCTAAGTGACCCAAAGTGTCGGCCGTTCCAAAGCCTTCCGTATATGAGAGGGCGGCGTCCGTATGGATCACATCCACTATCTGTGCGTCCGAATGGTCTAAACGTAAATATGTGCTTATGGTGTGAAAACCGACTCCTATGTTAAAAGCGTATTATTGCAGCAAATATCACGTAAAACATATTATAACATTCAATACCCGCCGGATCGAGTGCTGTAATGCGGGCCACTTTCGGATTTTTAAGTCGTTTGCCTGCGAAACCCATAGTATGTGCGCCCAAATTGTGTCCGATTAACCAAAACCTATCATTTGTTATGTTATATGTTTTGCACAAACTGGTGATAAAGAAACCAATAAGTGCTCCAACAACTCGGGTATTAATTGCGGCCAGGTTATAAATTGGGGTTCTTGCTCCTAATTATATAAAATGCAATTATTTAACAATTATATTATAATACAATTAAAA